TCTATAGGATCAAACGGAACGCGCGATAACGTAAACAATGTGTACGCTCGATAACGTAAACAACTCTCGGAGCACGGAAACAGCGCGACGGTAAAATGCTGAAGCCTCGATGATTTATGTCGGGCGTAGGGGAGTCCCCGATTTATGATGTAGCGTAGGGGATTCACCTCTGCGATAAAATACGACAAACTCGGTCAGTCGTATGATCGTTTAGGATACGTTTATACGTACGTATGTATTTCGTTTTTGAACTTAAGTGAATACATTGCACGCGTTAATATATTTTACGACTATGGCATCCACATCCTATAAAAGAAAGTGTTTAAAGTTGAGTGAAAAGTGAAAATCATAGACGAAGTTGCACTAGGTGCGGGAGTGACATAGTTAGCAAAAAAATATGGAGTATCGAAAGCAACAATCTGTAAAATTAAGCGTATCAAAACTCAAATTTTACAAAGAACGTGCAATACATTTGGAGGTTTGGGAAAAAGAAAAACTTAAAAAAATGCGAAGGCACCTAAAATGGAAAATTCCCTGTATAAGTGGTTTTTAAAACAACGGGAAAATCATGTCCCAGTTAGTGGCGAAGTACTTAAACAGAGAGCGAGACTGTTAAATGAAAAACTGAAAGAAACTGAAAATTTCGGAGCTAGTGATAGCTGGCTACAACGATTCAAAACAAGATATGGAATTCGACTGCTGTCTATATCAGGTGAAAACTTATCAGCACAACCACAATTAGTGCAACCATTCAAAGAAAAATTGATGAAAACAATTACCGAGCTAGATTTAAGAATGGAACAAATTTACAACGCAGATGAAAGTGGCCTTTATTGGAAAATGTTACCAGAGAAAACCTACGCTGCATCATTTGAAAAATCTGCCCCGGGAAGAAAGCCGAATAACGTTTCTAGCCTGCACTAATGCTAATGGTTCACACAAAATAAAGCCACTGGTAATTGGAAAGCAAAAAATCCGCGCTCATTTAAAAATGTTAATATCCCTGTTGATTATGACTGTTCAAAAACCGCTTGGATGACTAGCAGTATATTCCTGAAATGGTTCCACAGGTGCTTTGTCCCTCAGGTATGACAATCAATTATCACAAATGCTCTATTCATAATTTGAAGATGTGTTTTCAATTTGTAGGTAAAAGGTTTCCTAAAACAACAGAAGCTTCCAATAAAAGCGTTGATACTATTGGATAATGCACCAAGTCATCCTCCCGAGCAACAACTGAGGAGCAGGGATGGGTCAATTTTCGTCATGTACATGCAGCCCAACGTAACACCGTTAATTCAGCCGATGGACCAGAATATAATAACACTCACCAAACACATAGGAAGTTTCTACTTTCGCCTGTCTTATCAAAGAATCCTGAAAACTTATCTGAGGCTTTAAAAAAAGTAACATTACGAGAAGCTGTTTTAGATTTACATATGGCCTGGAATGAACTTAACCAACACACTATTCAAAAATGTTGGAACAATCTCTTTAGTACCAATAATGAAGATGATGAAGAAGACGATGTCCCCTTAAGCGTAATTAGAGAACGTTTGCGATCCAATAATGATAATGTTATTAGTGTGTCATTGGATGTTGTTGATTTATTGAAAACAGTGAATCCCAACATTGATTGTACTCCTGCTGATATTAATTTATGGAACGAAGATAAGCAGACGAATGATGCTGATAAGGAGGAGGATATGGACAGTGAGGATGATGAGAACGATCCCATTGAAGTCAGAAGTGTAGTGACTGACGCGCAAGCTATACAAGTTTTTAACCAAGCTTTAGATTGGGCTGAAAGAAAAGAAGTTTCATACACGGATATTTTAGTTCTTCGTAAATTACGGGCGCAGGCATTGGAAGACAATGCTAAGCGCAAATTTACGCAGACAAAAATTGTTAATTATTTTTCTTCTAATTAAAAAAATACTTACCGCTGTTAGAAGATTTGTTTATTTTGTTATAAATAGTATGTATTAAACGTTTCTTTTAATAAATCAAATATTATATAAATCACGTTCGCTAATGTAAACATTTCGATAATGTGAACCACACTTGGATTAAATTAGTTTACATTATCGAGCGTCTGCTGTATTTTGACAAATTTTTGATGGAATGTTCCGTATTTTGATCACATATTCGGATAGATCCTTTCAATAGAAGTTTTAGGTAACATAGCGTTTTGACGATCAGTTGTTGAGTTATGACTCGATAAACCAAAACGCTCAACAACTATCAGATCACCGTTTGAAAGATAGCGATTTTATTTTATATGGTTATGAAGTGCTCATGAGAAACTTGAAACTTGAAAATGGGGTAACCGACGACCCACCATTCCATTTAAAAAAAATACTGAAATTTTTAACTGCTACTATTATGCTAAAACTGCACCAATTTCAATACCCCGAATTTGGGTTTTCTAACTTGACCGTGAAAAGTACTGTATGTAGCAAACAACCTGGTTATAAATTAAGCTTACCTCAAGAAAACCTTAGTACACTGCTCAACAACCATCACTTTTAAAACATCAAGCGGTACTTTTGCATGCGATTCTGTTAGGAGCTTGTATGAAAAAGCATAAATATATGTTGAAGCAATTACTGCATGTTTTGCTTTAACTACCAAGTGAAATTTCCGAAAAACTGTGCATTTCCAACCAAAAGTTGAGATATACCCTTCCCCGTCCGCTGCAGGTCTCACCCTGAATTTATCATACGTCAAAAAAATCCAAAAATGAGCAGGAGTCTCTGATAGGTCAGAAAAAACGAAGTTGAGCTCCGCAGCTATTGGATCGACCTTCAAAACCCAGCAAGGTTCTTTGTCATTGGCAGTGTTGCCAATCCGCGGAATAAGTTCCGATTTGCGGAACTTTTTGGATAGTGGAGAAACCTAAATTTTAAAGTAACTTTTCGGATCTCATTGGAAAGGAGGTATTATTTTCTGAATCATCAAAAACCTAACCACTTTCTAATATTTATTGGAAGAGATACTGGCAATACTCAAAGATACACTGACAGGAAACACTATAGATTTGAAACTAAGACAGTTCAACACCTGAGAATTCTCGCTGCCTCTCTTTAAGTCACGTTAAACGTCTGAGATGGATAATAGTATGGTCAGCTGGGTAACTTGACATCAATATTCCTATCCCCTAGTAGCAACTCTGCATCTATACTAAGTGACATATAAATCCGAACACCCAGTTTAAATGGTTTTATTTTAATAAAATTTTGTATAAGTACTTAATGAAGCATAATAAGTAAATGACATAAATTTCAAAATGATTGCACTGCTTTAAGCCCTTTGACCTTTAATAATGTGTGGATGCACCCTGATGTGCTACGCATTCTCCAACGCGCCTAGGCATGCTTCTGATCAGGTGGTCAATGTCCTCCTGTGGTATCTCATTCCAGGCAACCACCAACTGCTCTCGAAGTGCTTCTAGAGTCTGAGGAGGACGTTGCAAATTGAGCAATCTCCTACCCATCATATCCCACACGTGCTCAATTGGGGATAAGTCGGGAGATCTTGGTGGCCATGGTAACAATGTGACATCATTATGTTGAAAGACGTCTATTGTGACTGTTGCAACATGTGGTCGGGCATTATCTTGTTGGAAAGTTGGATCTGCCAGGGTGTCAAGATAGGGTAAAAGATGGGGTTCTAGAACTTCGTGGATATAACGCTGCGCGTTCATGTTACCTCTGATGCAGATTAAAGGTGACCTGGAACCATAAGCTATAGCACCCCAAACCATAACTCCAACAGTGTGATGAACATGTCTTTCAACAAAAAACTGTGGATTCCTCCTTTCACCACGTCGCCTTCTAACCCTGGCACGACCATCGTGCATGCCTAAACAAAATCGAGACTCGTCACTAAAGACAATACTGTTCCATTCCTGATCCCAGAGTGACCGTTGTCTGCACCACTCAAGGCGATTACCTCGGTGTTCTCGAGTTAAAGGGAGGACCCAGTGTGGCCGGTATGAAAACAAGCCAAAACTTCTCATTCGTTGGTAAACACTTCGCATGCCAATAGGTCTTCCGTGTTCTGCAAACCATTCATTTGCAATGGACCTGGTAGTGGAGAAACGGTCCCTTAAGGCCAATAATCTTAGGTGGCGATCTTCACCTAACAACACTAACAACACCTAACCACCGTGTCTACACTTCTTTGCGCTCTAACTGCAATTGCCCGAAAAGAAAGTCCAGCTTCCCGAAGTCCCACTATACGGCCCCTATCAAACTCACTAAGTTGACGAAATCGTACAGGTTTCCGTACTCTAGGTATCGTAACCGATCGTAAAGGATGTCAAGAACCAAAATCCGCCAACGTTGATTCTTTACTGCGGCTGAAATATTCATTTTCAGAGCGTTAGTGAATTAAAAAAAAAGCAGTATAAAAACCGGAATGTCCAACTGATCAGGCTGAAAATTTTTTCACTTGTTATTTACAGTAAGATAAATAGATTCACCAACTTTCATTAAAATAAAACCATTTAAACTGGGTGTTCGGATTTATATGTCACTTAGTATATTTGCCTGATCGCCTAATTATGTTAGCGACAAAAGGCGAACTGTAGATCAGTTTAACAGTTTCATTCTTCTTCATGAAATATTTTATTATACATATTTTTGTTAAAAAAAGTAAAGAGGTCTCATCGACAAGAATGTCACAGCAAAGAGGGAAACATCAGAGAAAATCAGAGCCAATTTGAAAAATTAACAAAAGGATTTTTTATATACTTAAAATCTGGTAGCAAAAAATTCATGTGATATCATTTGTGTTTGAAAAATGGCAACCTGACACGGCACTTTCGCAACCCAAGTATTAGTAACACTGAAACACTTGACCATTCCAAATAAAAGTTGCTAATTGTAGCAGATTACGAGATGACTATCTAAGGAGTGTAAATGCGGGAGGCAAATTAAAAGATGCACATGCACATATTTGACATGGGTTAAAATATATGAACACCAAACCCTTACCTGTTTCCCACACTCTTTGCACTGATAAGGTTTGACTCCGGTATGCATCAACTTGTGTCTTTCCAAATGGTAATTTGAAACAAAGCACTTTCCACAGTATGTACAGATAAATGGTCTCTCCCCTTGATGTCTCTTCATGTGGTAAGATAAGTGACTGCTTTGCGTGAAATTTTTTCCACATAGCTGACATTTAAATGCTTTTATACCAGTGTGTGTCAGTATGTGGGTTTTCAAAGTGTCTTTTGTTATGTATCTAGAAAGGAAAATAAAATGGTATCAAAATGAAAGATGTAATTTTGTTGAAGTAATGGGTTGTCCAATAGGGACGCAGGAAAGTAAACTTCAATTTGACATAGACGCCATCTTTGTTTTCTGTCACCGACATGTCATTTTGTTAGTTGAATGTTTACCATTGATCGCTACGGAGTCGTATTCGATTGAAGACCGCATTAAAGTTATTCAAGAGCACTACAAAAATGGTGCAAAAATAAAAAACACGTTTCGCGCGCTTCGTGAACATTTCGGTCGCAACAACCGCTCAAACGAAACAACCATCGGTCGTCTGGTGCGTAAATTCGAGGCAACAGGTTCTGTGGCAAATCTGCCAGGCTCTGGCCGGCCAAGGAGCGTTCGCACACCGGAAAATATTGCTGTTGTGAAGGAGAGTGTGAGAGACGATCCGAAACAATCAACAACGCGTCGATCCCAAGAATTGGGCATTTCGAGAACCAGTTTGCTCCGCATTCTCCACAAGGATTTGAATGTACACGCCTACAAGATTCAATTGACGCAAGAGCTGCGTCGGGCCGAGCATTTTTCGCGCCGAACGTTCTCAGATTGGCTCCTTGAACACCGCCAAATTGATGCCAATTTTTCATCAAAAATCATGTTCGGCGACGAAGCGCATTTCACTTTGAATGGGACGGTAAACAAGCAAAACTGCCGCATCTGGGCGAACGAAAATCCTCGTGAGTATCAAGAGCAGCCGATGCATCCTCAAAAAGTGACTGTGTGGTGTGCATTGTGGTCAAAAGGCATCATCGGACCTTACTTTTTCGAAAATGCGGCCGGGGACGCCGTTACCGTCAATTCTGAGCGATATCACGTGATGATAGAGGACTATTTTTTGCCGCAACTTGAAGGAATGGGTATGGACGATGTTTATTTCCAACAAGACGGTGCAACATGCCACACAACCAACGTCAATATCCATCGATTGCAGTCCTTCTTCGGTGATCGCGTGATTTCGCGCAGAGGAAATGTGCCATGGCCACCAAGATCGTGCGATTTGACTCCCTTGGACTTCTTTTTATGGGGATATTTGAAAAGCAAAGTCTACGTCAACAAACCAGCCACCCTCCAAGAACTCAAAAACAACATCATTGCCGAGATAAATGCCATAGAACCGACCATGTTGCAAAATGTCATTGAAAATTTCGACCATCGCGTGGACGTCTGTAAATCCAGTCGTGGTGAACATTAGAGCGATATTATTTTTCATACATAAATGGTGTAAATGAACCTTCAAAATAAAGTACCCAACTTGATTTGAATATCAATCTTTCTTGTTTTAATATGCGTTTACTTTCCTGCGTCGGTTTTGGACAACCCCATTTTATAAACTTACCTCTTGCCACATTCTTTGCATTCAAATGGTTTTACACCTGTATGGCTCAATATATGGCGGTCCAGACCATTTTTTCTGGTATAATTTTTACCACAGAAGTTGCACAAAAACATCCTTTTGCCTTTTAAATGGTTTCCTAGAAAAACAGCAACAAAGTTTTTCAAATTAAAAAAAAATTCAACAGTACTCGATAATTCATTTAGACCACTTCCACTAGCGCATGCAAGTCTTTATAACAATTTTCTAAAAGTTTTGGCACAGTCATTGGCTTTAATTTTAACAAACACAAAATAATACCAAGATGCCTTTGGAAACAAAAGTTTGTTTGCTTGCTTTACTGCCAGTTGACATTCATTTATTCTTCGCTTTACGATGTCGTATAAATCAGAAATAAGGAGTATCTACATTTCACGCAAAACCGTTTATTTTCTGCACAGAGGTCAGAGAGATTGGTGAGAAGAGCAAAAAACCAGGTTGGGATGTCAACAAGGAGACTGGCTCGTCGATACAGATCAAAGAATACGATATCATCGGAATTGATGGTCTTAAATAGCGTCAACTGTGGCGGGTACACTTTGCCAATGGAAAAATCATTATTCTAGATGACAAAAAGTATGTCACTTTGCACAAACTGCTTTACACTCCAGCTTCAAACTTTTAGTTAGTTTTTACATCGAAAGAAATTTCTGGACCACGCAGCATGATCTTAAAATCACTCAGATTATTCCACAATACTTGATGAAGAAGAACTAATCCTCTTCTCACACGAAACTGTACTAAGCTAATGTTGAAAAGAATTTGTCTACATATTCATATTTGTCTATATACTTTTGTCCATTACTGTACATTTACCCTTTCTAACTAGAAATCTTTTACAGTATAAAATTTGGTTCAATCTAGTTTGTCAGTTTGAAAATTTTAGTTATTTCAACAATTTTAAGTGATGGTTAGCAGCATATTTAACACATTCGCTGCTAGCTTCTATAATGCAGAATAATCCAGATGGGCAACTTTTTATCTTAATTTTTTAGACTTTATACTTGTCTGAGTCGTAAAAATATATTGAGTGTTCAGCAGTTTTTCATCAATGTTATGCATGCGTCTTGATTGCACCTAGCCATGAATTTTTTGCTAGTGGTAAAAAAACTTAATGTCACGCAAGCATGTCATCAGCAGTGAAAATGTGAGCCTAGGCCTCTCAAGATTTGCTCCCAAATAGTGGACCAGAAAAAAGAGAAAACATTCATCCTCAAGCTTTTAATTGAAGTCGTGAAAAATATCAGAAAATTGCTAATTCCTAATAAAAGATCATACAACACAACATTCCATACCTTTTCCATCATATTCTGCCTCACTTTCAGTCTTACAATCTGCCTGACTTTTATCTAAATATTGAACGATATTTTGAGAACTAGCGTAACCTTCAGGTCTGCAACCTGCGGCTTCTTTATAATGGTCCATCAATCCTATTCTCGTAGAGAACATCTGACTGCAAGTTTCACAGCTTACTGGACCGTCATTGTTTAAATTGCTTGGTTCCTCTTCTTCCTCTTTAATATCTCCAAGAACAGGATTAGTTCTACTATCTGTGTTTTTATCAATATCATCACTGCTTTCGCTTTTAACATCGTCTTCTGTTAATTGTGCCTCTTTCTGTTGAGATTTGTTTAACACGTCTCTCAAGAATTTGTCGTTATCGTTACATGTTTGAATGAATTTTGATATGCGGTCCAACTGCCTTACACAACTCTTGCACGCATTTTCTGGGAGTTTGTCGTCATTCGCAATCTAAAATCGACCTCTGTATTGTTTTTTATTTACAAATAAAGGAGCGCATTACCTGAATATTGGTAATTTTACTAAAAGTGTCCAGTGCTTTGAGATTTATTAGTGGTTGCAGACTCGCACAAGCTAAGCAGAGTCTGCATATGTTCGGAAAATCATCTATATTTATATTTCGATCCATTATATATTTGTAAAATGAAAAGGCACATTAAACTGAGTATTTCGATTGTTCAATCTGCAAAATATCTTGAACCAAAAAAATATGAGTTCGACACACAGCCCAAACAAATCATAGGATTTGTTGTCTTTTACTTTTCACGGAACACCAACATTGAGGAAATGACAGGACAGAACGGCACAAATCACGTCAGGTAGCCCTGTTTTAATCAATTATACGAGGGTGCGTCAATATCTACGCAATACTCCAAAAAATGCATACTTTACATTTTGTAAGCAACAACGAACAATTCTATAGTAGTTCGATGGAATTTTTGGAATAATTGTTTTTATCTTTTACGATCGCATCGCTAAAAACGTGCTTGATATGAACCTTCATTTTCGATAGTTTTAATTTTTAATCAGAAGAGGTTTTTATGTCTCACCTGGCGTTGATATCTCGAGCATAAACACAAACCATGTTTTGAATTATTTTTTGAGAAATAGGACAAGTGTATTTTTACTGAGACTATGGAAAGTCATTTCGACTTTATAACAGGATGCTACTGCAAGAATAATAAATGATTTGGTAGCTGTGTAGATAATTGGAAACTGAACCATTCCCCAAAATTTTAAGCGGAAATATATTTATTATCTCATCTACCGTTGACAGCATTGGACGTCTTTCACAATAAAACGAGTTTGAACGTTTCTTATCATAATGAGGTTACTTAATGTTACATAAGAGGGTCAAAGTCTCCCTAAATTAACTATCCGTTATATCCGAAAAGCTCCTTAATAGAAAAAAAATCAAGCGTTTATGAAAAAATGGAAGGGACCAATATTTCACATATCTTTTATCCAATGGGGGATAGCAGTAGTGACGAGGTGGCGAAGTCTGATAACCAGGGAACCTCCGAGCATGTTTGCCGACACCGAGTTCACCAACATTACGAGGGTGGTCCTAGAAGTACCCGACCCAACGAAGAAAACAAAAATTTTGTAAAAAAATGTATTTATTTTTCATCATAATCTCCTTTGAGCACTATACACGTTTCCCAGCGATGTTCAATAAGTTCGATACCCTTTTTATATTGAGAACAAAATAGCCATTAACTGCCGACATCACTTCTTCATCGTTGGAAAATCTTTGACCACTGAGCCATTTTTTTCAAGTTTGGAAACAGAAAATACTCCGAGGGGGCTAAATCTGGTGATAGGGTGCATGAGGTAGCAATTCAAACTTTAATTCGTTAATTTTGGCCATTGCAATAACGAATTTGTGAGCTGGTTTTAACTGTTGTTAACGAAGGAGCAGACTCACCCAGAGTAGAATCCAGTTCAGCTTTTATATTGGTTGGGCTGAGGCGTTTGAAATAAAAGTATTGTACCACATAACGAGGACCAATTTTCTCCATTTTCACAAATTCACTGAAAACGTTCAGTATCGATGGCGGCCAAACAAATACTAAAAACGTGGCGTCTCCAAACTTGACACATATGCTTTATAGGTTCCATACTTTCTAATACAACGATATTTTTCAAACAACTATCGCCATCTCTAGGTCAGGCCGGGTACTTCTAGGACCACCCTCGTACTCCACATACTTACCCACCGATCTACTGAAACTTGCTAATCTCGTAATGGTCTGGATGTTTCACCACCTTCCCGAGTCTGCACCTCCACTATCAAACTAAATAGCTCCAAATATCTCATACTGTAATATGCGTGACAAAGTCTATAAAGTGGGACGATGTCTCGACCTCTTACCAGCGCAAGGGGCAGAATTTATTTTCGCCACTAGAAGTAGCGCGTCCGAAATTTGTCTCTGCTTGTCGGGGCCCGTTATGAACCTCTTAGGCCGGTATCGTGAGTTGTGCCTACAATTGTAGGACGCCTTTATGGCCTCCTTGGTTTTGATAGTATTTTCTCTTTTTCCTAGATTTGTTCTGTTCCGTATCAGCGTCAGCGCTCTGCTATTGTGAGGCTATGTTTGAGAACACGCTGCCTATATCTATTTTTGCTGTACCAGACGGGTTATTTGTGTTGTCCTCTCTGAAGAGAGGTTATGTTCAAAGTTATACATTACGACTTTCCCGGTTTTTCTTTGCGTTTTCAAAAACTTTGAGAAGCATTACGGGAAATCAGCACCGCACCCGCGTTGTGTGTAATTAAGCCAGATCACAGAATAACGCATCACATACAAAACAACTTCACACCGCCTCACATCTAGGCGGTGATTTGTATTTTCTACTTCTACATCGTAAAATAAATTTCTGTAAAATTTAAGTAGTAGTAGTAGAAAGATTTATTTAGCACATTTGGCTACATAAACAGAACAATTGTAAACAACTTAGAACTAGTAAATTCAAGCCATATGGTGTATGATGTAAATGCTGGGCAACCTATAATAAATTGTAGATTTAACAAGTGATTTCTCAATTTTACTTTAAATTTTGTCAAAGTTTTCTGGTCTTTTATCTCCGAGTATAATTTATTATATTCAATCAACCCTTGTTGGAATACAGATTTGTAGCATATGTTATACTTTTTGGTCATTAAATGGAAGTCATCTTTATTTCTGGTATTATGTAAATGATGGTCGACATTTGATGATGTTAAATTAGTTAGACTTGATGGAAATATATTATTTTTTACTTTATAAATGAATATCATTACAAGATATTTGATAAAATTTTTTACATTGAGCCATTTTAATTTGCTAAGCATTTGCCTAATTGGAGTATATTTATCTTTATTTAGTATTATTCTCATGCACTTATTTTGTGAAATTTGCAGTCTTTCAAAAATGGAATTATTTGCTAAATATAGAATAGTCGAACAGTACAAGAAATTTGGAAGAATGATGGTATTATAGATAATTTTTCTGCTATATGAACTCAGACACCCAGAAACTCTCGATAAATATCCCACTTTACTACTAATCTTATTTATAACTTTTTCATAACGAATATCAAAAATTAATCGAGAGTCAACAAAAACCCCCAGGTATTTAAAATTTTCTACGAATTCAATATCTTCACCATCAATATTCAGTTGAACATTTGTACATTGTTTTTTTCCGATTAACAAGGCTTTCGTTTTACTTGCATTTAATTTTAGTCTGTTAGATGCTAACCATTTTGAGACAAGCTTAAAGTCTTCATTTATATAAGAGATACCAGACTGAATATTTTTAGTACTTATATAAATCATAGTGTCATCGGCGAAAATTTGAATTTTGCATTTTTTTACTATGGCAGGTAAATCATTTATGTATAAAATAAATATGTATAAAAAAATGACCGGAAATACAGATGAATGTGAAATATATCACAAATAGTCCTGTATGCACCATATTTCCTCACCTATTAGCTTTGATATACTTCACCAACCAGGGATTATCTTTTCTTATCGCTCTCTTTTCTGAAATTCAGCAAATTTGAAATGTAATTTCCAAGTTGAATAAGAAAAACCGGATGCGCAACTAATTTTTAGCTTTGCATACATCTCAAGTCAGTGTATCTGAGAAACTAAACGAGTACACATCAAGTGAACAAAAGCTAGTGCTAAGTTTACATCTTGAAGAAAAAACCTATATAATGTTAAAATGTCACTTTTTAAGATACGTAATACCCTTACGGTACTCCTCTGTGAGATAGGGGTAGATTGTAATTTTGTTCATGTTCAGAAGTGGGATAAAAAGAGGATTCAAAATGATAATATTTATTGACGCACTTAATCATGCGCAGATTGACAAATTGCAGATATTATAAATTCTCATAAGTAGCTCATATAGAAATTAATTATTATGAAAGTTTTATAAATGTGTTGTTTGTTTTACACTCACAGTATTAATAAAAAAAAAGTAACAACAAAAAACAAATTAGCTCATTTTTACCTTTAGACGCAGAGCATTTTCTTGTTTTGTGTATGGATCTGTTCCTATATAATAGTTAAAATATAATATGGCATTTTAACACATAAAAATCAAGCTACATACTTCACGTATAAAAATACTCTGCTCTAAAATAACTACATAAAAATAACTATTTCAAGAAAACAACAAAAATTTAACAATATATTTCTGATATATCTACAAGTTTATAGTTATTTTAGTTCATACATATATATGTATACATGCACATATATGTATGTATATACATATATATTAATCTAGTAAGGGAGAGGCTAACACATAGCCAACGGTTTCCTTACAGAGCAGTGAAACACTATTTGTAAAAGCTAGTCCCAGACAGTAAAATGGAATTACACACACATATCACACCTTACATCACAAAAAATTAAATTTCTACACCTTCAGAATGCTACTTATCTGCAAAACTATCGCTAAATGTTGGTGAGTGAACGAAAACAATGTTTACAGTGCTGGCAAACAGATTGGCCGACTAAGGTTTCTTACTGTACAAAACAGACGCGTTTCAATCATTACCAAGTTGAAAATAATTTTTAAACCCTATATGCAAGATCAATAATTACGCCCACTAGCACTCCTGAAACTTATCCTATTGATGGGACTCCATTAAATCAAACAAGATATGTTTTACTTAGTGTTTACTGCACGATGTTCGGTGGCCTCTTTCAACCGCGGTGGCCGAAACCACGTACAGAAAAGGGTAATTAAAACATACATACATGATCACAGGGACACTAGGACGCATTCTGTAATTTTGTCTTCAAACAAATTTTCAAGCTGAATTTTGTTCACAGGGAACTAATAAAATGCAATGCAAAATGAGTATGGCCGCTAATTTACTTCCGGACGCAAATTAAAACATAAATGTTTGTAGCTAAACCAAGTGATTTATGACGTATTTCTTGATTTAATGGAACTATGGGCTCGTCTTACACAAACCGTACAGTTTTTCTCTAGTTTCCTATAAGTTCCTACTTTGTAGGAGAATCACAATAAAATTTGCTGCGCAAGTCATTCAATAGCCCGATATGATGGCGAAGAAGTTTATCATATACCTGGCATACCGTATAATCGTACTTGCAACCCTAATAGGAGTGATAATTGCTGGTTGGGCACTTGTTTAAAATAAAAAATATTTTCTTCAAACAGCAACATATAGGAACGTCTATAAATATTACCGTTAGATAACATTGAGCAGATGAGGTGAGACAAAATCCATACAGCCCCTTTGATTTTTTTGCTAGTGAACGTAACCATTCTTTATACTCGCCGTTATTATTTCGCTATTGTTGCGTTTCGTGAATAACTGACAATACGCATTCCTTATGTTAAAATTATAAAGTGGCGTCAGAAACACGTCCAGTGCCAAAAATAACATACTTATTCAATGAAATATCTTCAGAAGCACAGTTTGTGAATTATTCACTAACATACTTTGTTTCTTAAAAACCTACATTATGTACACACAGAAAAACTCATAAAAGCTATAAATGCCATTTATTTTTACAAAAAAATACTATTACGCGTGAATTGTTAAAGTGTGATCTGAATGTAAGTAATTCAGCTTTCCTATATTATAAAAATGTCCACCTTTCATTGCTTTTTTATGTTTATATCACAAAGCATTAATTTTATTCGATATAGATACACGCACACGCGTGTCGAGTGTTGAGAGTAATCTATCCTTACCTGGCACGGCGAGAAAAGTCCTTAAGTTTCCTAACGCCTAAATACATAAGTAACTTCAATTTTTTTCGTACTATGATGCCGTGAAATAAATAAAACACAGGATATAGACAATGTGCTTTCAGTCTTTTAACAGCAACATCCAAAAAGTGAAATCATTTGTAATGATTCTTATGAACATACACAATGTCTGAAGTAAAGCAGAATAAATACAGCATCTGCAACCACCAAAAAAAAAAGTCAGCTTTTCAGGGGGAAGTAATGGAAAATTCATTTAGATATACTTTTACCAAAAGCATAAAAAATAAAAATGTGTATCGAATTATCTTTATCATGAAACCAAAAAGCATCCACTATTTGTTTAGATTGTTTGTTGAAATGTTGGCAATCGCTACGGAATTCCAATTCAGGAATGCTTCTTTGCTTTGATAATAGTTCATTGCTTTTATTTTTCTGTTAAACAAAAGTAAATCTAGATGAATGAGAGTTATAACCTTCTTTAAAATCGGAGTAGCCCAACTGTAGGTGCAAATTTCAAGTAAAAATTCAACAAATTCATAACGGTTAAACGGTGAAAACCAAAACGGAGAATATTTCAGTAACAGTAACTTGCGAGTGTAACTAATATTCGCTAAGTTTTTTTTTGTTTGTTCCTGAAAAGTGTTCTCACTCCTTTAGACGGGAGATGAACTCTGTACGTACCACACAGCCGAGTTTTGTTATTTAAGCAAAACAAAACCCATACAATACATACAAAGATACTGTTTTTTTTTCATGTAGCTACAGATGCTCCCATGTGCGTCATACGTTACTAAAAAAAATTAAAAACCAATTTTTTCGATGTTCTTTGACAAGCTGTATTTTGGTCAAACATGGTCGTATCTAGACTTTTAAAAAAGCATTTTGAAGCTTTCAGATCCTAGTTTTCAGGTTTCTTAGCAGTACATTTTTAGGAAACAGATGGAGCAAGAAAATTGTTTTGCAAAACTTTTCCCTTCTTTGTCCACAGGCGTGAAAAAAATACTGACCAGGGGCGGAGCCGGAAAATATTTTTTTAGGGTCTTAAAGGCGGATTTAGAAATTAGTCTAAAACCTCTCATTAGCAGTACCAAAAATGCGGACGATTATCCAAAAGACAAGAAGTAGCTTATTGACTTTTTTAAGATTGCACTAAAATCTTATACGAGGTTAATTCCAGTTTTCGGAAATACCCTGTGCGATTGCAAACGGTTCCTTTTTCATTGGAACTCAAATATCTCCGCGCTAAATGATCGTATCGAGAGTTTAAAAACAGGCTATTGAAGCTGAATAAAATGGCTATCTGATCCATGTAATGACCTAATAGTTTTCAAACCCGTGGACTAAAAACAAGGCAAACATTTTGCAAAAAATTGTTCTGATGCTATCTGTTAGAATTGCATGAGAACCGTTGCTCCTAAAATTTTCCTGCTAAAAAACCTGAAAACTGGAATCTAGAAGCTACAAAATGCATTATTTATAATCCAGATGCGATCATTTTTCACCGAAACACTGTTTCAGATCACCGAAATATTTGGATTTTTTTCATGCTTCCTCAATTTTTTTTGCGTACAATGATAGCAGATGCTTATTAAACTTTAGAAACATTACAACCTGGCAATTATACTGACATAAGATCAGTATATTTAGCAAGTTCAGAAAACTATTATTTTTAATTGGAGATTTGGGAACATCAGCAACCATGTTTTAATATAATCTTCAATCATGGTTTGCTATGAAATGTTTCTTTAGTAAACTGAAACGATTTAAGTGGTCACAATTATTTTGGAAATAAACTATATTGCATGCGTGAAGTACGATTTTGACACAACGAGAGAATTTATAGTAAGAATCAAATTTTTATTGAATTAAAGAAACTCTATTCAAGATTCCCATAATATACATTTTAATAAATACATCGAGTATTGTACTTGTTACTTGGTGTAGTTTTCATTCTGTCTACGACTGCTTTCTGGAAAAAAGTTAGTTTCATCAGATTAATTATACATGAAATAAAGCAACGCTTGCATCCAAGATCACTACTGCGTTCAATATACGAGGGTTGTCAAAAATAATGTTCCCGGCGCTGTAACGTTGCTAGGCGAAATCTGACAACACCGTCGTACCACCGATCCCAACAAGCAGCGCCTATTGGCGACGCTCAGTACCGGCTTGACAGCACGCAAAAACGTTGCCACTCATAGAAATTCATCGCCAGTTGAGTCAACGTTTCCAATGGTAAATTCGTTTTTTCAAATAAAAAATTCCTTGTGCCTATGCGTACCCTATTTTTGAGACAACCCTCGTACATTCAATTGTAAAGTTCAGTTACCACAAAACGATCTCGCTAGCTCTGTTTCACATTTCACCGGTGCTTCTGGCAACTCTTTTGTCTTTTAATACTAGAATATCTTGTGAAGACCAGTCCAAATTTTTGCAATGTCAAGAATTATACGTATTTCCGACTTGCCGCAAATTAACTTTGTTATGTGTTATTGAAAAGGAAAGTTCCAACTTTAAGGACTAGATTTTTAGAACCAATCAATCGGAACTGAAAACATTTAAACCGTTCCTAAGCGTCACCTTTTAAAGAGTAGAGCCATCAATGTGGCTCACTTGGGTATTAAAATACACATTATTATTCAATGTCGACTATAGAAGAACATTTCAAGACAATGTTAGAACCGGATTAAACAATTTGATTTTCATACTGGATCATGGCATTATTTTCCTCGAATTTCTAAATGTATCCTGGCAATATTCAGAGTAAAACTATGTACGAAACTTCCATTTAAAGGCTGTTTGTGATCACACAGAAAAGGTGATAGTACAGAAATAAAGGAACTGTTTTTTAGAATTTCCTTGTTCTCAAAAACGATCCAAAAAAATCAGGCTCTCCAAAAAATTTGCGCCATTAACAAGGGAAACACTATCGGCCTGGCATAGCGCACGTATTCCGCTATCATTATTTGTCAGATAAAAAGAGAATTGTCAAATACTGCACCCGATAGAGAGAGGAAGATCGCCGATCACCCGTCGGTGCGGAAGGGTCCCGAGACCGTCCGTTAGAGATTTGTTCATTTATTACAGAAATATCAAGTCATTTTCTACCACCTTCTTGTGATCACAACATTACTCATTTTTTTTCCTCGTGTCAGTTATTTCAATATAATCTTGTCACAAAACTGCTACCACGCTCCACCAGAAAAAAAAAATAAAAGATCCAAGCAGCATACCCTTATAACTATACTTTATTTTCTATATCTCATTTTTTCTATATAAAAAATATTTACAATTACATACATATCCTCTAAACCAAACATGTGGTCTCATCATCTCAATCTCCCCCATACTGAACAACACCGTAGTAGTAAATGTAAGTAGTTGGATAGAATTAGCTGGAAAATGCCGTATTTTCGCCGATATTCAGACGAACTATTTCATTTTTGTAAAAAAAGGGAATTGCGATGTGTTCGACAGACGCTACTAAGGAGAAAAAACAATCAATGGAGTTGAACCGACAGAAGCCACTTAGAAGTACTTTTTCTAACACTGAATATCAAGCACCCCATGCTTTTTAGTATAAATGAATGTTTTTTTAATAATTTAGTTTTTACACTGATTAATTAGTCACACTTGATTGTTGGGCTTAATAGTGCAGTAACACAAATTCTCCTATGCCTGAAAATTATTTTCTGATTCTAAGTTCCATTTGCTATTAAAGCGTGTTTTTTTAGTATTTTCAAATACAAGTTTAATTTGTTTTCTGAATCTTCAATATCAAGAGCTTCCATTTTTGTTATATGTTTGACAATAAATCTAAATTTAGCTCCTATTTTTTTCAAATTTCCAAAATTTTTTCAAAATATCAAAAAAAATTCAGAATTTTAATCTTTTTTTCAAATGATTTTCCAATTTCTGAATTTCTCAATTATTTTTCAAATGCAAATTTTCTCAAAATTCAGTTAAAAAAAATCAAATTCGAAATTCTTTCCAAGATTTGGATCAGTCATCGGTCCTTGACCGCTGTACAAATTTGCAAGTTAATCAGGGTTCTTGGAATTTGAAAATAAGGTTGAAATAAAAAAACGTGTTAGAAATCTATAAAAATATCAACTTTCCTAAAACTGTCCAAATAAAACTGCTAACCGGTTGAACCTTGACTGATTGCACGGAGTTTGTCAATAAAAGATCCACAATTTACTCCTGAAAAAAGTAAAGCAAAAAAGGGCGTAGAAAATAAACCAATTTTGCGTTAATTTCTCGCATGATGAAAAGTTTATATATATTCGACTTTAAAATCAGAAAACAAATTGTTTTCCTAATCTAGATATAACGAGGTTTTATTTCAAAAGATGATACAAAAATGTAGTAGAGAAAAAAAAGAGTAGAAAAGGATAAAAAAATGCGATCCTAAACACAAGGAATAATAAAGTGTATTATAATATGCATAAAGGAATCTTCTAACACAGAAAAAGAAAGGTATAAGATACGCGAACATTTAGAACTTGTATACATTCGCCCAGCAAGCGTTAAACTGAACAAGTCTCATCATAATTAGTTACTTACATAACTGTTCGGTTTTAGTAAAGTTAGTAGTAAATGTTTAGTATGCATATCGCATCCAAATCCAAGATACCACCAACGAAAATACTCACAATGCACATATCAGCTGCAGACCGACAAACTAAATCATTCACTAGTAGCGATTCGCGACATTTATAATTTTTTGAAAGCCATATTTGAAATCAGCGTCCCAAGAAACCAGCAAAAAAATAATAGGTTCCTTTAGAAATTTCGACTTGGCCAAGGTCACCTTTAGATGATCCGCATAAACTAGTCTAATCATATTAGACGAAAATGCCCCTGGTTTGTGAAAAAGTCTGGTTTTATTGCTGCAAGTTGTTCAAGCGTGTATTCAAAACATGGACGCATAAAACGGATACACCAATTTTTGTGGGAAAACTTTTTATTTAACAACAAAGAATGAGAAAACGTTTTTTTTTTTTGGGCAAAAAAGTTATGGCCGAAACCGAGGCAAACTGCAGGTTTTGGAACAGATGATAGCTAAAAATCTCGTTCAACATTTTCGACTGAATTCCAAAAAACACATTTTCTCATTCTTTGTTGTCCAATAAAAAGTTATCCCACAAAAATTGGTGTACCCATTTTATGCGCCCATGTTTTCAATACCCCCTTGAACAACTTGCATCAATAAAACGAGACTTTACAATTCTTTCTGGGGACTAAATCCTCGCAATTGTGCTTTCGAACATTTTTCTAGAGAAAATTGTTTTCGATATCCCGATTCGACCTTGAAGGCAGTGGCGAAGGGTTCAGGTATAAAATTTGCTCGTCTTTCCATCCCGATGTGAAAAAATATTCACTTGACTTTGAAATGACCTTGAATGTCGGGGCACCGCCCCTTCAAAACCCTTTTAAACTTTTCACTCTAGAATGCGCCGTTTTTTGGGAAATATCCAGGTGAGGAGATCAAATGTATAAACGCGGCATAATTTCTTTCAAACACGACTATGCCTAAAACATCGAGTGCGATATTTTCAAGACAAACATCGTCCATCTGAATCGTATCGGGGAAAAAGCTAACTCTATCCGACCAAAAGTAGCATAGTAGTAGTGGTAGTTATATGAGAGCGAAACAACACCAGCATGGGACTGATACTATAATACATCAAAATACTACACAATACTTATACAATAATAAAAAAAAAGAAAAATTACATTAGAATAACGGACTAGCCTTTCCTTACACGACATAGGGCGCACTAACGAGCGACAGAGTGCTTCACTTTTGATCCGCTAGATGGCCGGCCAAGTAGTGAACGTTCTTGACAGGTTATGAGTGGTGGTGAGTAGGTAAATATTTCTATGTGTACTTGGGCGTGCTACCCCAGGTATGATAGTTCGACCTAGAAAAAAATAGTATACGTCTGAAACGGGTCGCAATCATACCTAGAACATTGCCGGTTCACAGCGCAGAAGTTCGGAAGCCTTTGATGTGAACTCCGCATGTTTCCTAGTTAAAGAGAACAATGCATACTCTGACACAAATAACTGGAGAAATCACTGTTATTAGATGCAATGACCCATTGAGAAGGAGCTTTTCCTTTCCTATGTAAATAATGATCAAGTATTTGAAAACTTGAATCTGGAAAGCATTTTAATGCTAGCAGAATGAAAACAAACATTAGCTCCTTAATCCCTTTTGAAACTAAAATGGTCCGCTGGCCAAATCTTCTTTTGAAATGTTATCTCGAATATGATATATAAAACGTGCTAGACCAAGAATGCTTAACCCTTAACCTAGATATCTAATGTGCGACCGAGTAAAATCAGTAACAAATAAGGAATCGGTAGATGTGTGGAAACTGAATATGGCATTGGAAGCAGAGTAAGAGCTGAGAGCATTGGAAATTGTATGAAAGATCAGTAGGACATTGAAAATTGTGTAAAGAATGTCAATAGACCAGAAGAAATCATGTTGACATCCAATCAGGTATTGGAAATTGTGTCCGAAGTTCAATGAGGTATTAAAAATTATGTAGGCGTCCGGTATGGTACTAAAAAATGTGTAAAAAACCAACAAAGCACTAAAATTAGTAGCGAATTTTAATACATAAAAAATTATGTGAACTTCATCAGGACATTGAAAACTGTGTAAAGAATTTCAAGCATTGAGAATTATGTAGAAGTCCACTAAGGTATTGGAAATTATACAGACATTTAGTGTCATTAGAAATAGTGTAAAAGATTAATAGGACATTGAAACTTTGTAGATTATTAATAGATTCTAAGAAAGTAATTATACGTTTTATATGGCATTGGAAATTGTGCGATATTCTATTGGAAATTGTGTAGATTCAAATGGTATTGAGAATTGTGTAGAAATTAAAGCGAGTGTCCTTTCAGATTACTGCTAAACAGCAATGTTGTGTTTCGGTAACAAATAAGAAATCTAAAATTGTGTAAAAGATAGTAGGACATTGAAGATTATATAAAAGACCAATTTGATATTGGAAATTGTGTAACTTCCAATCACGTATTGGAAATTGTGTATGCCTCCGGTATGTTATTGAAAAATATATAAAAAACATTAGAACATTGAAAATTTTTAGCAAATTTCAATACACCACAAACAATTTTGAACTTAATAGGGCATTTGAAATTTTGTAAAAATTGTAGAATTATATAGAAGTCCAATAAGGTATTGGAAATTATACAGACATTTAGTAAGTCATTAGAAAATGTGTAAAAGACGAATAAGACTTTGTAGATTATCAGTAGATTCTGAGATAGTATGTGGAAGTTTTATATTGCATTGGAAAGTGTGCAAAAGTTCGATATTGTATTGGAAATTGTATAGAAATTGAAGCGAGCGTCCTTTCAGATTACGGCCTAACATCAACGTTGCGTTTCCGTCGTGATAATCCATGGAATTTCATATTAGACTATCATACGGTTCCCGTAGTATTTTATAATTCGTTTAGAATCTTTTACTCGAACAAATCTAGCATTAGACTCATTTTAAACCTTTTCGCTCCTATCCTCGCTCAACCGCTGGCACGCCCTTTACGAATCATCCCACTTCTGACACCTTACAATAGAAGTTCACATCGCCAACTTCACAACCCTTGACTATGAACGTAGCGAATCATTTTACTATGACCCCTTTCAGACGCATAATATCATCTCCGGACTATCTCGTCCGCCTGCTACACGTTGCCCGGGGGCGGTCACTGGGTTACGGTTAGTGTAGTTGTACGGTCGGCCGGTAGTGGTCGTCTGCTGCTGTAGCTGTTGTCCGACACAGATGGCACTACTTACCGCCCTATCACTTCTTGGTGGAGGGGCTGGTGCTGTTGAAGGATTGCTGCGATTGGCCGGTCGCGCTAGGCGGGGCGGACGCCGGGGCAGACGGGGCGGGGGACTGTTGGGCAGCAGAGGGGGCGGTGCCCGATTGCGCGTCGGACGGCTTGTGGTTCAGCTCCAGCTCGGCCAGCTTTCGCCACAGCTCGTCGCGCTCCTTCTCGCGTTTCTTCTCTCTGAAACAACGCAATCATCATCACAAAAACTAGTTAGAGTTTGAATAAATTTTGTGCCAAAACGTACGTTAGAACAACCAGCTTTATATGCTGACATATGAGGTGGCCTTAGATACGTCCTGTTAGTACAAATGAAGATTTTTCGGTTTTACATTTTATACTTATAACATGTTCTAAATGCCATAACCAACAAGATAGATAAAGCGCCAAGTGTCAATAAATATTTTTTAATTTATTAATAGTTTTCTGTGCTACAGGTGGCAGTTTTTACGCTGATTTCTGACTTAGTGCTTGCTATTGTTTATCACGTTGTTACAGTTTCTTTTTATGGTCGTCAAAATATTAACTATCCTGACAAAGTAAATTATTACAATGTTTTCCTTATTTAGAATAATAATTTTATAGCAGTTCTTAAAAATATCGAATTTTATTTTTATTACAAACCACTTCTCTTAGAAAATCATACTCTACTCTCCATCTCGTTAAACGTCTTTTTTATAAATTCTACCGAACGTAAATACGAGAGCTGAAGGTGACTTGGTGCTATTTCCGGTTCTCGCGTGTAGGAATTCAGCGGCCCACTACCCGATTTTGTGAATTAGTCTCACACGCATGGCTGCGGAATTATCGGGTGGTGGAGAGTTTAATACAAATCGGCCTCCATTAGTGAGTTTGTTGTCGGAGCCCTTTTTCTCACCCTCTTGCGATGATAACAACAGTGAAAAAAAAACACAATTTCTTGTTACAATGATTTTAAAGTTGCTTCTAAAAGTTCAGTCCATGCATCCAAGCTTCAAATTTCGAAAGCTCTTTGGATCAATATACAGGATGACTTTGAAGTTGAGTCATTAATTTTCAGATAATGATTGTAGAAGGAAGATAAACCAAAATATGTGTGTAAAAATAAAAAAAAAATTAAAAAAAAAAATTTACCTTGTTTTATAAAGTATCCTCCCGACAAGTATTTCAGTGCGGACCTGTATTTGATCGTGAGGTCTTGGAGCACCGGCATGCCGTCCATATGTGAGGTCTTAAGTCAAATGATTCACGAACCCGTTGTACTACATTAACAAAGGCACGAGGGGTTGGTTGCACTCGATTGGGAAACCGATCCGCATAAACATGTGCCATTTTTTATTTCGTTTGAGCCACGCAACAGACACCACTATCCACTACCGACTGACACTGACTGTATACAACTGAATGAAATAATTGTAAAAACATCGTTCCAAATTCTTTCGCTTTTTTTGTTTCCGATGCGATGAACCGATAAGGCGAATTATATCCGTTGTCGCCAAACACGAGCACATAATATTATTATTGAGACAGGGCGGTACTCAAACTTCCAAAGGGCTATAACTTTGTTACTTTAATTTTACCAGAAAAATGGTAAAGGAAAAAAACATTTCTTTTGATCAGATCTACTCACTGTTAAAACAAATGACTCAACTTCGAAGTCACCCTGTATATTAGCCGAGAAAATCCAGGATTCCTTAGCATCCAAGAGCCCTGAACAAAAAAAAAATAACTATTTAAACTATTCCAGAAATGACTCTTCCAAACCTGACCTGCCAAAGTAGACTTTCTGAAGAAAAAAACAAGATCTGCTGACAATGATTCCTTATTTGAATGAAGAAAATAGATAATTTTATGGAGATCTATTGGAACTAATATTCCTTAGAAGCTAATTTTTTGTTTTTTTCGTTATTATTTACCACAATATCTATATTTTTGCAATAGCACTTCTATGATTTTGTAAATGTTATAGTTTCCCGAAAATTTCAAGTACACAGAAAAATACTTACTTGAATAAACCTATGTTTAATTTTCAGATTTTTTTTAATACATTGATTGCAACGGGTGATTTTTTAAGAGGTATAGGATTTGATTTCCAAAAAAAAACACAAAAAATTTGAAAAAACGATTGAATCTTTATTTGAGTCGATAGAACGGTCGATATAATTTAAAGTTTAAAGATTATTTCATGTAAATGTTGGCCGCGGCTCCGCTTTAGATGGCCCGTGCGCAAGGTCCAATTTTGGCACACTCTCTCCAACATATCGGCCGGTATCTCACGAATAAATGCTTCAATATTGGCTTCCAGTGCGTCAATCGTTGCTGGTTTATCCCTGTACACATAAGCCTTAACATGGCCCCACAAGAAATAGTCCAACGGCGTTAAATCACACGATCTAGGCGGCCAATTGACGGGCCCCAAACGTGAGACAAACTGTTCACCGTACTCGCCTCTCAATAGGGCCATTGTTTCGTGTGCGGTGTGACATGTGGCACCGTCTTGTTGAAACTACATGTCAGCCAAGTCCAGCTCTTCCATTTTGGGCAAAAAAAAGTTTTTTATCATCGCACGGTAGCGCTCGCCATTCACAGTTACGTTCCGGCCGTTGTCGTCTTTGAAGAAGTACGGCCCGATGATGCCACCGGCCCATAATCCACACCAAACAGTGATTTTTTCGGGATGCCTTGGTAGCTCTTGCAATGCTCCTGGCTGGTCTTCACTCCAGATGCGGCAATTTTGCTTGTTAATGTACCCATTCAACCAGAAATGAGCTTCGTCGCTGAACACAATTTTTCGATAAAAATGTGGATCTTTCTCCAACTTTGCCAGCGCCCATTCACCAAATTAGAAACGTTGTGGGAGGTCGTGTGGCCTCAATTCTTGCATCAGCTGTATCTTATAAGGTTTTACACCCAAATCCTGTCGCAAAATTTTCCACGTAGTGGAGTAACAAAGGCCCAAATGCTGCGAACGGCGGCGAATCGACATTTCACGGTCATCACTAACACTGGCGGATACAGCCGCAATATTTTCTTCAGTCCCCACTCTACGTCTACGTGTTGGTGGTTTAATATTCAATAATGTAAACTGGGTTCGAAATTTAGTCACAAGCTTCCGAATAGCTCCCTCAGTAGGCCGACCAAATTGCCCATAAATTGGAAGCAGTGCTCGATGCACTCTCTTAACCGAGCATGAATTTTGCGTTGTTCGTTCGTAAGTCGATTCATGGTTAAATTATAGACCAAACTGAACAAGTTTGACAATGACACAAGACACGATTCTCACGTCATCTGTCAAAAACAGTGTTGAAAAACAGATACGCAAAAAAATCACCCATTAGAACAAAAAATACTGTTTATCTCAAAATAATAATGATGGCACTTAGCACATTATTTACTTTAGGTCTTCCAGAATACAAAGTCATTCGTTTTTTTTTCTTATTTCTTTATTATTCAATACACGGTACTTGCACATTATTTCATAAAAAAACGTTGTACTCACTTTTGTCTCTCTGCTTTATAACTGACGGTCAAATCATCGAACAACTTGCTATTCATCTCCATGAATGTTTTTAGAACGTTATACACCAACGCAACGATGGTCTGATTCCAGTGCTCCTTGCTGATGCGGTACAACGCCGGGAACATGATCGGCATAATGACGTGGTTGTTCTCCTCCATCAACGACATTATGTACTCGTTGTTCCAGAAGTATAGCGCTCGTTCGGCGACCTGTTGACGAAAAAAAATTTCAACTAAATTTCCGTTTGATCTCTTATTTTGTTTAGGACTTTGAATTGGCGAATTGTATTTCCAACACCCTCCCGGAGGCTAATTCATGGATATCAGAGAATGAACTACTTTTTTTACACCCAAGCAGCCACGCAGGCAAAAGCCTAAATGCCTAAAGTCGTAGTGTTCCAGATAATTGCCGAAACCGGTGGATGCTTTTTGTACAGTTCCGAAGACGAATAATAGTTATTTATTATACAGGGGGAAAAGATCTAGTATTTGTCCAGTGTATAACATAAATTGTTTTTCTGTGACGGGAAAAACGACGATTTAATATTGAAAAATTCTATTATTACAATACAGGGTGTCCGCAAAGTTGGGGTTTTCCTTTACACGACGTGTAGATCTTGAAAACATAAGCAATTTTTCTTAGTACCATATACACCAATGTCTTAAGGGAACCGAGATAAAGGGCTCTGCAACATCAAAAATATCTGAATACCGTCCTGTAGCCGCGACATCCCCAAGTGGTACTAGGACACTAGCTCAACCAAACGGCAGAACTGGGTCGGGATCAGTGTGTCAGGTCAGTATGCAACCTTCAACCGACGGTTACGGTCACGCGTGTAGAGGTAAACGAACCCGTATAAACGATTGCGTTTCAAAAAACAACAAGCATTAGAGACATGGCTAGAGAAGTGCAAGTATCAAAAACTAAAGTGTGGCAAGCGCTGCGTGAAGAGGGGCTATATCCGTTTCACGTCCAACGTGTACAAGCCCTTCAACCTGACGATTTTCCAGCAAGAGTGCGGTTTTGTGAGTGGTTGTTGCATCAACATGACAATAATCCGGACTTTTTGAAGTGCATATTGGTGACAGACGAATCTACGTTCACGCGTAATGGGGTGAATAACTTTCGCAACACTCATGTTTGGTCAGTAGAAAATCCGCACGCCGTCCGTCGGGCACATTTTCAACAAACATTTTCGGTGAATGTTTGGGCTGGCATGGTGAACGGTATGCTCATTGGACCATTTATTCTCCCAAATCGATTGGACAGGATGCAATACCTAGACTTTTTACGCAATATTTTGCCTTCCTTGTTTGCCTGCGTCTGATCGGTAGCGCATCAGCTGATTTCATTTTCTGTTGGAGCGGTATGATTTCGGGCAGAGACGTACTTAGCCCTTCTCGTCAACTGGAGAGTGAGTACTTTTTCCTTTTTTTTTTTTACTTGGTCGCCCCCGTTTCACAACACATTACCTTTGTTATTTCAAGGGTAGTTGTTTCTGAAAAGGAAAACCCCAACTTTGCGGACACCCTGTATTTAAGCCAGAAAATTATCTATGTGGAATTTCGATTTTGAAATTAGTAGGCTATGGCTAAGGAAACTTTTAAAGTAATCAAATAGCTGTCAATTTAATTTTGTGATTTGATTCAAAAATTGTGAATTTAGTGGTTGTTTAGAAGTTATTTTTAATACTATAAAGTAAAAAATGTCTGATTCCTAGTTTTCCTTGACTCCACCGGAATTAGTAGAAGTAGGGTAACAAAAATCGCGGAAAATTTACGAAACCGCGTATTCAAGATTCATGGAATGGAAGATGAAAAAAAAACATGCAGTTCTTTGTCGGAGACTGTGTTATTGGCTTATTTTTCGGAATTGGCACAACAAAAGCCATCAACAGTCGAATAATTCAATGATTAAAAGTATTTTTCATTACATTTTTGAAACCAAATGGGAAAGATTACAAGCTCAAAAAAGCTGTGATGTTCACGAGTACACAAATTTGTGATTTTTTAAATAATGCTCCCGATGAAGTTTATTTAATGGCCAAGGTTGTTGTATTTGGGATTGCAGGAGCTTGTCGAATTTGTGAAATCAGCCAGGTAACATTAGATGATATTGAAGATTCGGGAACGTTATTAATTGTGAAACTTGAGGAAACAAAGAATGATATAAACAGGAGATTTGTAGTTATTTAAGAATATATTAAATTTTACCGAATGTACACATAGCCCTTCGTTCAGCAGCAGCAAAGGATTCATATCACAATGGAAAATGTATCAATCAGGTTGTGGGTAAAACCCAGTTTTAAAAGGTTCCCGAAATAGTGACTAATTTTCTTCAACTTGAAAATGCTAACTCATATACAGTTCATTCATTTTGAAGATCGTCTGCTACACTTTTAGTTGATTCTGGGGAGACTTGATGACATTAAAGAAACATGACGGTTGGAAGTCATCAACGGTCGCTGAAGGGTATGTTGATGAATCGGTAGCACACAGGACAAAAATAGCTAATCAAGTGTTTACGAGGCTTGTCCGTAAAATAAGTTCCACGGGCTGCCGCTGGCGCTAGGATCGTTTCTATGCACAGCCAGGCAACAGAGGCAGATTTGGTTCCCCCACTCCAATCCCTCACCAAGTCAGCGTCGCTGCGACGTTTAGTCTTGGCTCAGCAGCCGTCAGCGTTGGAGCTTCCTCTTGCGTCTCCCGCCACCTGCGAGTTGCGGTCTGTTATTCGTTTCCTGGCCGCTAAGAAGAAATCGGCGAAGGAAATTCACGAAGAACTTTGTCAAGTGTATGGAGAAGACTGTATGAGCTGCGGGATGGTGCGCAGATGGGTCAGGGACTTTAAAAATGGCCGAACAGACGTCCACGACGAAGCCCGTGCAGGGCGGCCATCGGTTTCCGACGAAACAGTTGCCAAAGTCGAAGCGGCAATGTTTGAAGATCGACGGATTACAGTTCGGGAGCTGTGCACAAAGATTCCGGAGGTCAGCAAAACCACAATTGACAAGATTTTGACTGAACATTTAGGCTATTCAAAGGTTTGCGCAAGATGGGTACCAAGAATGCTCACTGCAGACCACCGGCGGCAGCGGGTTGAAGCGGCCCAAGAATTTCTCGCTTTTCACGGAACAACCGAAGAGGAATTTCTGGACTCTATTGTTACTGGTGACGAGATCTGGGTACACATCGGAAACAAAGGAGCAATCGAAGCAGTGGAAGCACTCTTCTTCACCAAGAGCAAAGAAGTTCAAACAAATCCTGTCTGCCGGGAAAATCATGGCTAGCGTTTTTTGGGATCGAAAGGGCGTATTGTTGTGCGAGTTTATGCCTCGCGGGACAACAATCAATGCTGACCGGTACTGTGAGACCTTGAAAAAACTTAGACGTGCCATTCAGAACAAGAGAAGAGGATTGCTGACAAAAGGAGTGCGTTTTCACCATGACAATGCCCGACCGCACACCGCCAATCGAACCACAGCCCTCATCGAAAGATTTGGATGGAAAATGGTGTCTCACCCACTCTACAGCCCAGACTTCGCACCAAGTGACTTCCATCTCTTCCCTGAGTTGAAGAAAAACCTTGGCGGAACCCAATCCCAGACAGATGAAGAGGTGCAAAACGCGGTTGTTAGTTTTCTACACGGACAGGCGGCAGAGTTCTATGACTCTGGTTTGAAGAAGTGGGTGCCTCGAATGCAGAGATGCATAGAACGCAACGGCGATTATGTAGAAAAATAAAAGAAAGACTGAACTTTCCAAAAATGTATTTTCTTTGCAATTAAACCAATTTTTTGATATGAAAAAAATTTGTGGAACTTATTTTACGGACACGCCTCGTAGAACGTGTGGTAGTGCTGAAATAACACCGGATTTACGACCAAGTACATCAATGGGAGTTGTGATGGCGGAAAAACAACAACACAATAAAATTCGACTATTGTACTGAATAGTTTAAGGAACGTGTCATTCATGCAATGCACATTTAATAATTGTACTTTTGATATAAATGAAATGAAATTTTATTGTATAATACAATATTCTAAAATTAAATATCTACCTTTGCTTATGTGTTTCTACAATATCCGGGAATAAAAGTAATTTCATAGACAGTGACATTTTGTTACCTATCAACAGACAATTTCCCGTCACAGAAAAAACGTTTATTATTATTACAGGTTTTCGTACCTGGAAGTGTGGACTGGAGACGCATTTCGCGATCTGCCTGAACAGCGGCTCTTGGATCCTGGTGAACTGAGACGGTTCTATGACGTCCAGCACCTCTTCTATTTCGCCGAGGAACATCACCTCCTTCTGGCTGCACGTCTTCGGCCAGTATTTGAGCAGGCCGCGTACCACGGGCTCCGTCAACGTCGGGTCCTTCTCCAGGAACTGCACCACGCAGTACGCCAGCTGGGCGTGGTACAACGACAGGCACTTCACCTGATTTTGAAACAAGTATAAATTGGAAATTACGACTATTCTCGATCAAGCTAGATTTCATACAAAAAAACGTATGGGGTTGTCCAAAACGAACACAGGAAAGTAAACGCATATTAAAACAAGAAAGATTGATATTAAAATCAAGTTGGGTACTTTATTTTGAAGGTTCATTTATACCATTTATGTATGAAAAATAATATCGCTCAAATGTTCACCACGACTGGATTTACAGACGTCCACGCGATGGTCGAAATTTTCAATGACATTTTGCAACATGGTCGGTTCTATGGCATTTATCTCGGCAATGATGTTGTTTTTGAGTTCTTGGAGGGTGGCTGGTTTGTTGACGTAGACTTTGCTTTTCAAATATCCCCATAAAAAGAAGTCCAAGGGAGTCAAATCGCATGATCTTGGTGGCCATGGCACATTTCCTCTGCGCGAAATCACGCGATCACCGAAGAAGGACTGCAATCGATTGATATTGACGTTGGTTGTGTGGCATGTTGCACCGTCTTGTTGGAAATAAACATCGTCCATATCCATTCCTCCAAGTTGCGGCAAAAAATAGTCCTCTATCATCACGTGATATCGCTCAGAATTGACGGTAACGGCGTCCCCTGCCGCATTTTCGAAAAAGTAAGGTCCGATGATGCCTTTTGACCACAATGCACACCACACAGTCACTTTTTGAGGATGCATCGGCTCACGGGGATTTTCGTTCGCCCAGATGCGGCAGTTTTGCTTGTTTACCGTCCCATTCAAAGTGAAATGCGCTACGTCGCTGAACATGATTTTTGGTGAAAAATTGCCATCAATTGGGCGGTGTTCAAGGAGCCAATCTGACAACGTTCGGCTCAAAAAATGGTCGGCCCGACGCAGCTCTTGCGTCAATTGGATCTTGTAGGCGTGTACATTCAAATCCTTGTGGAGAATGCGGAGCAAACTGGTTCTCGAAATGCCCAATTGTTGGGATCGACGCGTTGTTGATTGTTTCGGATCGTCTCTCACACTCTCCTTCACAACAGCAATATTTTCCGGTGTGCGAACGCTCCTTGGCCGGCCAGAGCCTGGCAGATTTGCCACAGAACCTGTTGCCTCGAATTTACGCACCAGACGACCGATGGTTGTTTCGTTTGGGCGGTTGTTGCGACCGAAATGTTCACGAAACGTGTTTTTTATTTTTGCACCATTTTTGTAGTGCTCTTGCATAACTTTAATGCGGTCTTCAATCGAATACGACTCCATAGCGATCAATGGTAAACATTCAACTAACAAAATGACATGTCGGTGACAGAAAACGAAGATGGCGTCTATGTCAAATTGACGTTTACTTTCCTGCGTCCCCATTGGACAACCCTTTATTATAAGGATGGTTGGACACGTGCCAGACTAACCCACGTTTCGCCCTTTTTGTTGCCTGGTTACTAAAAATTGAAATCCTTTAAATGCGATTCAAATGACCTCTATCGTACGTATTCTGAGTCGCCAAAACCGAATCCGATTTCACATGCATCCCATCCCGTTTATCACGAACATTCTATTATTTAGTGAAAAATTGCGAAACTATGCGATATTTGAAGCTTTGGGATGCTAAAAATCAATTTTCTTCACCGATGTCTGTATGCGAACGATGCTCTGCAGATTTAGGTGATTTGTGGCGCTAAATTTGAATATCATCTTGATAAATCCTAAAGGGTCATGGTGCCGAATTGGTCGTTTTTTGTTGTCCAGTAATTCCAAAATAGGGCATTTGCGCATTGAATGGAAAACGACGGTTGAGCCGATTTCAAAAAACTTGGACTAGATGAAAAGAGCTATTCTTGAGCTAAAAATGTTATAATTTTGTTGAAGTTTTGTTGTTTCACATGTAGCCGCTAGGGGGCTTTTTTCGACATTCCGACAGAAATGGTTAATTTTATCAAGAGAATTAAATGCATTGGTATGATTTTTTTTTATGAAAAAGTAGCTAAATGATGTCTAAACAAGCTCGCGAAAACCTCATCTCGATACCTTGTTCCTAACCTAAAAGTTAGGCTAAGGAAAATTTTATACGGGAATCCCTTGATTTTTTTTTTAAACTAATTTCCAATTTACCTTAACCTTACATATACCATTATTTAATTTCAAAGTCGAAATAATGTTTCCTATCAGCTATTTAATATTAAGATAAAAACTAATAATAGTGAAATAAGAAAGAAAGTGTGCTTGCCTTATGTAAGGGTATGAGAACCTTCACAAGGAATTGTTTGTGCTCCGCCTTCAGTGGAAGCGCGAACCCGTTTATGATGGAGCCAAGAATCTCCAATAATTCACCCACGCCGTTAAAGTGTTCAGTCTCATACACGAACCTGGAAATCAAAAAAATATCGATTAAAATTAATTGTATATATTAATTGTCCCAGAAGTCGACGTCAAGCCGAAACCGGGTGATAGGCAAAGTCATAACAGCTATCAGAAAAATATTTAAAAAAATTGTATGTATGTGTTTTGAAAATTATAGGTCTTTGAAAAAGATATAGAAATTTCACACCCTATGGCAGTCTGTCAACTCCTGTTACTGCACATATTAACTTTTTTTGGATTTTATTTTTACAATGTAATGATGAATAATGCATCTTCAAACTGGTGTCTCAACCTTACTGCCAACTTTTCTCGTTCAGGAAAAATTGCCACTTATTTCCCAACCAAGTATTCCAAAGTAAAACTTTGCTCAACTTTAACTGGCTGTACTGGAAAAAAATGTACTACGAGAGTTTGGCAAGTAACCTTAAAAGTTGGCGCATTTAATAACGATTCCAAAATGGTATAACACTTAGAAGATTACTCGTTAACTTATGCACAATTTTTATTTTAAAAAAAACTGATGAAAATTTTTCAAAATTTCCTAATTAAACAGCGATTATGAAAACGCACAAGGACCCTTAAGGATAACTGTTTGCACAACAGCGGGCGTCAAAATGCTGCTGATGATGATTTACCTTTACAGCAAATGCTCAAACAGTTTTCCTTCAGCCGCAATACACGCTCGACATCATCTTAAAAAAGATCGGGTTATTAAACGAGCGAATCCACGGTTATTAACAAACTCAGATGCTTCCAATAGTCTTTGCCGTAGCTCAGCTACATTTTGAATCGGCTTGAAATACACTTTTTCTTTTACAGTTCCCCAGTAAAAAAATCTAAAGGATTCAAATCAGGTGATCGGGCTGGCCACGGTATTGTACCAGACCGCCTTATCCATCTGCCTGGAAAGTTTTGATCGAGATACTCTCTCACTGAGAGTGCATAGTGCGCTGGGCAGCCATCATGCTGAAACCACATGTCCCTGAAAATACTCAGTGGCACGTCCACCAATAAATTTTGTACATGATTTTTCAAAAAATCCAAATAAACTTCAGCAGTCAAAGTCTCTGGGAACTCAAAAGGACCGATTATTTTACCATTTAAAATTCCTGTCCAATGGTTTATCTTGAAGCGATATTGAGATTATCTTCTCTCATCAAATGTGGGTTTGCTACGTGCCACTCGTGTAAGTTATGCAGGTTCATGTACCCATCTTTCTTAAATGTGGTCTCATCCGACCATACAATTTTTTCAAAGAACTGTGGATCTTTCCTGTGTCTTTCTAACATTGTGCGACAAAAAGCAACTCGGGGCTCATAATCCCGGGGCAGGAGAGGTTGAACACGCTGTATGTGGTATGGATGAAGCACATCACTTACTTGCTATTGCACACTTTGATACCGATCAGTACTCCTTCGTTTACTGCGCATCTTTACATGTTCGTGCTTGTTGATTTCGTACTAATTTTGGATTCGTGAACTGGACTGTTGATCGTTTGTGATTTGGATTTGGACTGTTTAATTGCTCTTCAAAACAACATTTGCTTTCCTTAGACTATCTTTGATAGTGTGATTGTGCAGTGCCGTTATGTCCGTGTACACCGTACAAGAATATGCTAACATGCACCTCATTTATGGGAAATGCAGATGCAACGCTAGTGCTGCAGCGAGACTTTACTGTGAGAGGTACCCGAATGCAGCTCGTCATCCAGATCATCGAGTGTTCACAAATGTGCACCGCTTACTGTTCTCAGAGGGCCAACTACCAAACCAATCACACGGTGAGGGAAGATCTTTCCTTCCTTACGAAGACGTGGTGCTAGGAGCTGTCGAAGAAGACCCGAGTACTTCAGTGCGTGCAATAGAACTAAAAACAGGTGTGCCCAAAAGTACAGCCAATAGAATCTTGCAAAAAAACGTCGAATTCTGGGATACCCTGTATATGAATATTACGTGAATCTCATAAAAATCGATACATAACACAAGGAAAAAAAAATTAGGCAAAATCAGCAAAAAGAAATTCGATCAGAAAAATGATAGGTAACCCGAGCAATACGTATTTCTGCTTGTTGGCTTCATCACGCCCGAAATGAATGCACATATGCACCTGAAAAACTTGCCACACATGCCCATAAAACCCGAGGAAACGAAGATGGAGAGGGAACGAAACGACCCACGAAGTCACTAACAATCTACGCATTGTAAATAATGGAAAGAAAACTCGAGTATTATTAAATGCGACACCTAACCACAACCACGCGTCCGATTATAGTGAATTGCCTAGGTTCTTCAAACCTAAAGAATCTACAAAATAGAAAGCATTTTTTTTTTGTTTGAAAAGCAGTAATAGTCCATGAGCCCACCGCAAGTTTCAGCTACATTGCGTGCTGCTTTGCTATGTTAGAAACTAGTTAGGTATTTTGATGCTCTTATAAACAGTAAACTTACCGAGTTTGCAACAAAATTCGTAAGATTTTACTAGTTTTTATCGTATATCAGCACGCGAAGATGTAACCAAAAATATGCGGTCGGCTCTCCTGCTATAATGCAGAAGAAAACCACACTTTGATTGAGGTTCAGGTTAAAGCTGGCCTTGTGCTGGTGTAAATAGTCGGGCATACATTTTTCATCTGTTATCAGCGCCTCTCCATGTTCAAATTCAAATTTATTACAAATACAAATATATTGGTCATGTCAAGAGAAGACCAGATGAAAAACGTATAAAAACAAAACACGATTCAACAGCAATACAAACATCCATGGTACAGGTACAACAGATAGCAAAACAAAATGGATAAAGCACAATCTCATTCAATATAAAGACAAACAATCAGTGAATTCCTCAATGGTAGATGATTAGACATCAATGATTTTTTTTAACTTGGTTTCTATCAAGTATTTTTTTAGTACTGTAGGATGGAAATTATACAGCCTGCAACCAGCATTTACAGGAGTCTTCCTGTGCTTGTACCGTTTTAAGCAGATTTCATTGCGTCGAATGAAATACGAGGGGGGTTCGATAAGTACTTAGCCTCACCACACGATGGCGCCACTATCGCAAGAGAAATTTACTGTCAAAATTTCAGTCGAATCGGACGCGTAGTTTTTAAAAAAGAGCAATATCGGTCGGTGATTCTATTCTTGTTTTTTGGAGTGAAACCGCGCATGCTGTGTACGGTGACTTTTCTCCTTGGTCGCACGTCGGTTTTTGTTGAGCCACGCCCAGTTGCTCTGAATCGTAGAAAAACGGCCTCCTTTGGCGAAGAAAAAAGCGCTCTTCCACCATGACAACGCACCGGCCTCACATCGTCACGACCAAATTGGTCGAATTAGGCTACGAATTGCTGCCCCAACCACCAGACTTGACCTGGTGCGACTTTTTTGTGTTTAAAAGCTTCAAACCTACTTTGCGGACCTCCAGAAAACGAACGGATTAGAGAAGTATCGCTGGGTTGGGTGTATCGAGATCGAGCTAAAAGGAGACTATGTTGAGAAATAAATCGTCACTTCTCCACAATTTTCGTTTTTCTTTTGTAGGCTAAGTACTTATCGGACGCCCTCGTAACTGTGATCGAAATTGTTGGTATCGCACTCGCTGTACAAAGCAGAGCAATTAGTAAAGGTGGATTGCAACAAAAGTAAATGTTGTGCGCCATGATACGTGATATCTGAGACTGAATACACTGGTCAACAAAATTTTAACTTTGTCGTGCCACACGGACTTTTTTGATATTTTTTACTTTAATTGGTGATTGTAAGAAAAAATAAACAGTTAAAAAAAATTGCTGGACAAGGATTTTATTCTATTGAGTAATTTAAAATATTAAGAAAAAACACAGATCTCGTAAATCAAAAGTTATTTTTTTTTTATAAATGACTTAATAATCTAAGATTTTCTTGAATATGTAGCTTCTGGTTGGTCCCTTTTAATTGTCCAGCAGTAATCTGCTAACATATTTGGGCTCCATTTGCCCTGGTACCGTTTTTCCATATTAGAAATGTCCTGATGGAACCTCTCACCGTGCTAGTCGCTGACATCCCCTAAATTGTCAGGAAAAAAATCCAGGCGCGAGTCTAAAAAATGGATCTTAAGTGACATGTTGCAACCCAATGCTTGATATGACAATAATAGCTCGCTAACCAACTCTCTGTAGCTGTCACTCTTGTGGTTACCCAAAAAATTTGCAACCACATTTTTAAAAGCCTTCCATGCAGATGTTTCTAAATCGCTTAATTTTTCTTCAAATCTTGAATCTTTTATCAACTCCCTAATTTGAGGGCCAACAAAAATACCCTCTTTTATCTTTGCATCACTTATTTTAGGGAATTTTTCTTTTAGATACAAAAATCCACTCCCATTGCGATCCATTGCCTTCACAAAATTTTTTATTAATCCTAATTTGATATGCAATGGTGGTAGAAGCACATTATTTGGCTGTACAAGGGGTAAATACTTTACGTTTTTTTGCCCAGGAACTATCGATGCACGCGTAGGCCATGTTTTTTTTATATAGTGATTAGTTCTGTCTCGGCTATCCCATTCACATAAAAAGCAGCAAAACTTTGTACAACCCAGCTGAAGTCCAAGTAATAGTGCAACAACTTTAAGATCACCTCAGATTTTGAAGGAATATGTACTGTAATTTATTTTTTCAAGTAAAAGTTTCATATTTTCATAGGTTTCTTTCATATTTGCAGCATGGGCCAGAGGTACAGACGGAAGCTTATTTCCATTATGCAATAACACTGCTTTTAGACTTGCTTTCGAAGAATCAATGAATAAACGCCACTGAGAGAGATCAAGATCTATGTCCAACATTTTCATAATCTCATTTATGTTATTGCAAAACACCAAATCTCCATCCTGAGAAAAATACGTTCTGAAGTGTTGATCACGGTTTCGAAAATAGCTAACTTTTGTATTATGATGTAGCAAATTCCATTCTTTTAGACGTGATCCTAATAGTTCTGACTGCTTTTTTGACAAATTTAAATCCCGAACCAAATCATTTAGGTCTCCTTGAGTTATCAAATGCGGCTCGTTTACAATTCCTTTTAACTCAAAGTCATCGTCCTCGTCAACACATTCACCTGAAGTGGACGGTTGTGAATTGTTCTCAACAGACGTAGTTGCAACTGGTATTAGTTCTGGCAATTTTTTACAATGAGAGACTGGTCTTATAGCCGAAGATAAGTTAGGGTAAATAACTGTGGTTTTTTTCTTGTAATTTATACCTTTTATGTCTGTGAGACAAAAATAGCAATCTGAAACGTGATCTCGCTGTTCAGTCCATATCATGGGTACAGCAAACGGCATAGGTCGTGCACCTTTCTTCCAGTCAGTTAAATTTTTCACACACGTTATGCATCAGACATGAGGGGCCCAGGATTTGTCTTGATGGGCGACAGAAAAACCAAAACATTGGCGATAACACTCCAACACAAGATTCGTAAAATTTCGTCGTTGTTTTTTGAATGTTAGTTCTCCGCAGACATAACAAAAAGAGTTAGGATCATTATTACACTTCCTCGACATATTCACAGGGTTAATAAATCACAAAAAAGTGTTCAAATTCAACAACAAACATTTTTATAAGGATTTACTTGTAAGCGTTTCTGTTAATTTACTGCCGTAGTACTAGTTATGAGTATTACCGTATCACAACAAATATGAGGCTAATAGACATATGACAGCTGTCATGTAATAATGAGGGTAGATTGATAAAACAAAATTAGCTGTCAAAGTTCGTGTGGCAAAACCAGTGTTGACCAGTGATATTTTCCTGAAAATCCTTTTTTGGTGTATAAAAACTCTTGGACTGTCCCCAAACGACAATATTGCATGCGACGACAGGATACGCATATCCTGATCCTACCTAAGAAAAATATTGTTGATCTGCTTCCTTATGAACGCCCTAAGGCCCAAGAACTTCCCGTAGATCCTGTGCAGCACCGTTTTGAGGAAGTCCCGCTCCCTCGGGTCCTCCGAGTCGAATAGCTCAAGGAGTTGCAGCACGAACTTCTGATCGATGACGCGTTTCCCTATCGTCGGCTGGAAATCGCTGCTCTCCAGGAAACGGAGGAAGAACTCGTAGACGAGCAGCAAGTGGGGCCAGGAGGCCTCCAGCGTAGGATCGTCCTCCTCGGGGTCGAAGTCCGGGTTTTCGGACGGGGGTAGAGTGCGGAACAAGTTCGCGGATATCTGGAAACAAACAATCGTTTCGTTATTCCGCGACGTTCCTAAAACGTTTGATAAAATTAATCGTGATCTTTCACTATCAAAACTGAAATATTCAGCATTATGTGAATCGAGTTTAAATTTCTTTCGATGCTATATTACTGGTAGATCTCAGAGGCTGGTTTTAGGAAATGATTATTCTGGACGAAGAGACGTTACACCTGGAATACCGCAAGGGTCTGTTCTAGGCCCTTTGCTCTTCACCATATACAGGGTGTTTCAGTTTATTGTTGCATAACTTTAAGATTCGATAGAACTTTTAAAATTAATGCATAAAGTCTATATAAACATGGGTCGAAAAATGCGTGGCTTCCGAAATACAGGGTGTTTAAATTTACTTTCTAAAATAGTTTTTTTTAAATATGTCGAACAATATTTGATGTATAACAGTGAAAATTGGTATACAAGGGTTTTTTGGTACGACAAAACGAACCATGGGCATAGTTTTGCTGTAGCCGCTAGAGGGCCCTCTCTACTGTACCTGTAGTGTATTAAAATGACCGAAAAAATTTTCTTAGTGCAATTTTTTGCTTTTTGAATAAAAAAACTGATTCTTCGCACTTTTTAATGTAAAAAAGCTCTTTGTAAATTTTCGTTAGTTAGCCGTTTTTGAGATATTTCGATTTTTAAGGTTCGATGCATTTTTAATTATTTATGATAAAATAACGTTAAAAAGTCAGTATCTCGATAATTTTTAGAAGTAGGCTGTGCCTGCAAATATTTTTGAAATTGAAAGCAGAATAAGGTTAAACGTCAATTAGTTGACAGTTAGTTTTGTTGTCTGTTGAAACCTGAAACGTTTTTTTGCAATTGTGAATGCACGAAATTTAGTTTCTCTTACCTGTTTTTTTTTTGTAAGTTTTATAAAAATGACATTTTTATTCTCCAAACAAGAGTTAGCGGATATTCATTTTGTGTATGGCTTTGTAAATGGAAACGCAGCAGAAGCAGCCAGAGAATACGAACGAAGATTTCCAAACAGACGACATCCAACTCGCTCAGTATTTGTAAGAGTGCATCGCCAAATAATTGAAAATGGTTTTGGAAATCTCCAAAGGGATCAAAACATAAATGTTATTTGGAGTTAGGAATTATTGCTGTGTTTAAAAACACAATCTAAACGATCATCTTAATTACTTGTAATGCCCAAATCGAAAATGTAAAAAAAAATATCATTTTCCCATAAATAATTAAAAATGCATCGAACCTTAAAAATCGAAATATCTCGAAAACGGCTAACTATAACTAAAACTCACAGGAGAGCTTTTTTATGTTGAAAAGTGCGAAGAATCAGTTTTTTTATTCATAAAGCAAAAAATTGCACTAAGAAAAATTTTTCGGTCATTTTAATATACTACAGGTACAGTAGAGAGCGCCCTCTAGCGGCTACAGTAAAACTATGCCGATGGTTCGTTTTGTCGAAACCAAAAAACCCTTGTATACCAATTTTCACTATTATACATCAAATATTGTTCGAAATATTTAAAAAAAACTATTTTAGAAAGTAAATTTAAAAACCCTGTATCTCGGAAGCCACGCATTTTTCGACCCATGTTTATATAGACTTTATGCGTTAATTTTAAAAGTTCTATCGAATCTTAAAGTTATGCAACAACAAACTGAAACACCCTGTATACGTCGGACATAATTGAAGTCGTTAAAAGCTGTAATATGAAATGCGGTGACGATACGCAGATGTATACAGGGTGGCCCAACGTTTAAAAGGTCGCACCCCATTGGTATATTTTGGGAAAAACGCTCGGACACGTCAATTTTGATTTCAAGGGGGCCGACTACTCATCTATAACCGTACAATACAGGGTGATCCAAAAATAAGATATTGCGGTACCTTTAGATGTTTAAATGGAGACCCCATTTTTTAATGCTTAGGTTTTCGATGAAGTTTTTTGTAACGAATTAATGTCCCAACGTTTAGTCAACAATGCAAATCTGTTATTTAATATTTATTTCTCGGATGAGTGTACGTTTTATTTACATGGTCCTGTAAATAGACATAATTGTTAATATTGGAGTATAGATGAAACGACGCCCTCCTAGAAATCAAAATTGGCTCGTCTGAGCGTTTTTCCCAAAATGTACCGAGACAGTCACAAACAGGGGTGCGATCTTTTCGTTGTGCCACCCTGTATATATCCTTTAATCACAAAAATTTTGAATGTCCAGCTTGAAAACGATTTGAATGCAATTTCAGAATGTGGATTAGGAGCTCGAGGTCGTCACAATTAAAAGCTTTACTGAGATCACAAAAAGTAACAGCGGTGCATTTTAAGGACTCGAAAGAGTATAGCCAAAGCTGTGCTCTTTTTTTTCTAAATCCTAATTGAGAGCGGTTTTCTTCAGAAAAAAAAACGAGCCTTAAGGCAATGCATTTCTCAACTATTTTAGCAATCATTGGAAGAAGACTGATAGGAGAATAGTTGGAGATATCGTTCTCGTCGCCACTTTGGTGGGCGTTGGCACATCTAAGCTTGTACATACTCACCATTTTTATGATCTCCGGATAGACAGGTTCGGTGAGGACACCTCTGCCGCCGGTGATGTAGTCCACCAGCTCGTTCAACGTGCACCGTTTCACCTCCTTGCCCTTCAAGTCGGCCACGGGGTCCATGAAGTCGAAAGCGACGCAGCACTGACGCAGCTTGCGGATGAAGAGCTCCTCTTGCTCGGATGCGGGAACATCTAGAAAAAATAGAAACGTCCGAATTGATACAAAAATTATAGACTTATGTAAATTTTCCCAAAGAAAAGGCTAGTGGAAAAAATTGGATATGGACATGAGCATTTCCTTCAATTTAATACATCTCTTCCCTGCCTCTCAAATTTACTCCTTGAACAATTTCATTTATCATGAAAATATACTGACATCAGACGTGTTACACCCAAAAAAATAATTTCCACAACTTGATTTTTTTGGCAATGAGGTAGTCTTACATCAAGAATCAAAAAAAAAAAAATAATTATAACTACTATAATAACTATAATTCCCAAGCATTCAAAATTTACAAACTTGAATGGATCTAGTCTATTCCAAACACTAAAATATAAATGAAACTTGACCAGGTAAGTTTACTTAAGATTTATACAACGGGTGATTTTTTAAGAGATTTAAAAAAAACACAAAAAATTTGAAAAAACGATTAAATCATTATTTGAGTCGATAGAACGGTCGATATAATTTAATGTTTAAAGATTATTTCATGTAAATGTTGGCTGCGGCTCCGCTTTAGATGGCCCATGCGCAAGGTCCAATTTTGGCACACTCTCTCCAACATATCGGCCGGTCTCTCACGAATAAATGCTTGAATATTGGCTTCCAGTGCGTCAATCGTTGCTGGTTTATCCCTGTAGACATAAGCCTTAACATGGTCCCACAAGAAATAGTCCAACGGCGTTAAATCACACGATCTAGGCGGCCAATTGACGGGCCCCAAATGTGAGATACACTGTTCACCGAAATCGCCTCTCAATAGGGCCATTGTTTCGTGTGCGGTGTGGCATTTGGCACCGTCTTGTTGAAACCACATGTCAGCCAAGTCCAGCTCTTCCATTTTGGGCAAAAAAAAGTTTGTTATCATCGCACGGTAGCGCTCGCCATTCACAGTTACGTTCCGGCCATTGTCGTCTTTGAAGAAGTACGGCCCGATGATGCCACCGGCCCATAATCCACACCAAACAGTGATTTTTTCGGGATGCATTGGTAGCTCTTGCAATGCTTCTGGCTGGTCTTCACTCCAGATGCGGCAATTTTGCCTGTTAACGTACCCATTCAACCAGAAATGAGCTTCGTCGCTGAACACAATTTATCGATGAAAATGTGGATCTTCCTCCAACTTTGCCAGCGCCCATTCACCAAATTGGAAACGTGGGAGCTTCAATTCTTGCACCAGCTGTATCTTATAAAGTTTTACACCTAAATCCTGCCGCATAACAGAGGCCCAATTGCTGCGAACGGCGGCGAATCGACATTTCAAGGTCATCACTAACACTGGCGGATACAGCCGCAATATTTTCCTCAGTCCTCACTCTACGTCTACGTGTTGGTGGTTTAATATTCAATAATGTAAACTGGGTTCGAAATTTAGTCACAAGCTTCCTAATAGCTCCCTCAGTAGGCCGACCAAATTGCCCATAAATTGGAAGCAGTGCTCGATGCACTCTCTTAACCGAGCATGAATTTTGATAGTAAAATTCAATAATTTGCAAGCGTTGTTCGTTTGTAAGTCGATTCATGGTTAAATTATAGACCAAACTGAACAAGTTTGACAATGACACAAGACACGATTCACGCGTCATCTGTCAAAAACAGTGTTGCCAAAAAGATACTAGCAAAAAAATCACCCGTTATTTTTGTTTGGCTGATAAATGTTTTTTCAATTTGTTTATATTTTTTAGTCTAAGCTAAATTTGTTCTGTTTTTTATGTCACAAGCTTCCTAATAGCTCACTCAGTAGGCCGACCAAATTGCCCATAAATTGGAAGCAGTGCTCGATGCACTCTCTTAACCGAGCATGAATTTTGATAGTAAAATTCAATAATTTGCAAGCGTTGTTCGTTCGTAAGTCGATTCATGGTTAAATTATAGACCAAACTGAACAAGTTTGACAATGACACAAGACACGATTCACGCGTCATCTGTCAAAAACAGTGTTGCCAAAAAGATACTAGCAAAAAAATCACCCATTATAATTCCCAAGCATTCAAATTTTACAAACTTGAATGGATCTAGTCTATTCAAAACACTAAAATATAAATGAAACTTGACCAGGTAAGTTTACTTAAGATTTATATATTTGAAACCTCAGACAATTAGACTGATACGAAAAATGCAACAATTACAACCCCTGATTTACAACCTCTTCAAAAATAGAGTTACAGATGCGTCAAGGATTACCAGACAGACAGAAGACCAATGGGAATGAGTAACATGTTTTTTCCTGATGTATCAACTCTCTACTCATACTATCAAAACCTCCTCTCCAAAGCCATACAGTTCTATATTCTATCTAATAATATTTTCTTTTCTGTGAACGGATCCACATTTTCTTTGTCACATCAACAACTCAATGGGTGGCATTAATAAAGTTAAGCACCTGCTTTTTACTTGAAATTTTGGAGTACGTACTTCACTTGGTATGAATAAAATGATGAAGAAGGTGCTCAAGTAAGAAGCACCTACTATTTTTGTAAATATGTGCTTAAAAGTGAGTATCTGCTAAGTTTAAAAGGAGCATGTGCTAACGAGATGAAATAATTTTAAGTTATCTGGATAAAGGATGCTCAGCATCAGTAACAAACGTACTATCAGAGGCGATGGCTGGATTTATGACTATTCATCATTCCAGAAAGCATTATAAAGTTCGGAGAGAATCTCGGAATGTAGACTATCGGATTTTATATAGATTTAATAAGAACAACGTGGAATGGTTGGCTCAACATTTCTTAGGAGATGGGTTTGAAGTGGAGCTCTAACATCTACTGAGAAACTGAGAATTTTTCTTAGTTACGTCAGCGACCCGGGATTTCAAAGTGGCGTTGGTGAGGACATTGGTGTACACCAAACAACGGTATCTGTAGCAGTGGCAGCAGTAACGAATAGTATACAGTGGACCCCCGATAATCCGGCGCCCCCTGTAATCCGACATGTCATTGAATATGTATTACATACATACGTATTTGACAATCTTCGCTAATGTAGATCACGCAGGTTTGAACAGGTTACAACTTGTACGCGCCACCGCTATCGTGCTCGACGCGTAAGCATTGTTTTGCTTAGTTTGAATTTGACTACTTGTGGTAGCGGTACGGCCTAGCGTGCGTTCATTGTTTACTATTTATTCATTGTACATTAAGTATAGTATCTAGTAATGTAATCACAAACTCAGAAGCGAAAGCACAAAACATTGACAATTAAAGAAAAATGTGATATTTTAGACCGCTTAAATCGCAATGAAACTTTCAGTAGTTTAGCAAGTGAATACGGCGTAGGCCGATCTACAATTTATGACATTAAAAGAAACCACGAGAAGATCAAGAAGTTCGAGTCAACTATTGACTGCGGGCCAGGCAAGAAACAGACACTCAAGAAAGCTGAACATCCAGAAGTGGAAGAAGCTTTGTACATGTGGTTTCTTCAGGAAAGAAATAGGCATGCACCAATTTCAGGACCCATGTTGGCCAAGTTTTTTTATAAGGAAATAACAAAAAAAGATGATTTTGTGGCCAAAAAGGATGGCTATAACGTTTTAAAAGTCGTCATGGCATAGGTTTAATGACTATTACAGAAGAGAAACTTTCTAACGATGCCACCTGCATAGAGCCCTTTAAATTAAGATTTTTGCAAAAGGTGAACGATTTAAATCTTGACCCGTCACAGGTGTACAATGCAGACGAATCAGGGCTTATTTGGCGTGTGATGCCTAACAAAACTTTCGTTTCTTGTAACGAAAAATCCGTACCTGGACGAAAAGTATTGGGAAATCTAATAAACCACGGTCATTCAAAAACATTGATTTACCTGTACGGACAAAAAAGTGCATGGATGACAAAAGAACTTTTCAAAAAGTGGTTTGATGAATGCTTCGTACCTGAAGCTAGAAAATGGTTAAAAGATCATAATTTTCCTCAAAAAGTATTTTTTTTACTTTCAAAAGCAAATTTTCACAAAATGATGCAACTAAGAAAAATTCGGAAAAGCATTTTTTCCGTCTTTGCCAATTTGTGTGTTTTAGCGGACATTGCAATTTTGAATAAAAAATTATAAACATTTTTTAATTGGCGCGTTAGTTTTCGTTCAATTGCTGGATCACGAATTAAAATAAACTGAAAATAAATTTCTCTTCCATTTTGAGGAAATTAAACGGTTCCGGCAAAGACTTATGTAGGGGAATTATGATTGGCATTTGTTGGTCCAATTTCAACAACAATTAAAACAATTGTCGGAATAAATGTGTATTTTCAGTTGGATTATTCTCTCTCATTTCTATTCCCAATTGATCTGCTAGTCTGCCTTTTATTTCCTCGATCGCATTCGCCTTTTTTCTTTTAATCTCGAGTACGATAGACTTCTCCAAAAGTACGGGAAATTTTTCAATAATACTAACAAAGCTTAACATTTCACAAGTTTTCCCGTTGGCGTTGGTATCCTCTTCTGTGTCCATTGTTGTAAAATATATTCACTGATAGGACCTAGGACAATCGCACTAAATATCGCGATGCGGCACGCATATTATAAAAAACCTGTCGAAACTTGCAAATACCCACAGCGCCAGCGGTATTATTTGGAGCACGTACTCACAAAGCCGAAGCAGGTGCTCCATTTTTACATCAAAATTTTTTAAGTACATGCTCACTTTTTTACCATCTACTCAATTTCTTCTTAAGCACGTATTCACGTTTTATTAGTACCACCCATTAAGTACGAGTATATTATAAATGTTTCGGTAAGCAGCCACTGTGGGGGTTGTCTCAAAAATAACGCTGCCACATTTTTTTTCAGGAACAAGGAATTTGAAAGAACGAATTCGCCATTGGAAACGTTGATCTTTAAGCTATTTTCCTACACAGTAGCCAGGCTTTGTCAGGGCTGTACGCTTCGAAGATCCATCGCGCATACCGTCAGGTCGGTACTGAGCGTCGCCAATAGGCGCTTCTTGTTGGGTTCGGTGGTGGGGGAGCCGACA